CATTACTATACGTTGCACATTTATACAAACATATCACCATAAACGAGTATAATGTATGCAAAATCACATAGACCTTATGTTGTGGTAATTTATGGACTTTTCCAAGCTACTCTTGATTACACATGGTTTTTCTCTACATGCTGCCTCTAGAACTTGATGCCTACAAAGGATGTGGCTCCACCGTGGGTACCATCCTCCAAGTTCTTCCTCTGGCATCTGTATCAAGCCAGGAATGATATGGCTTTGTCCAACATCCAGCAAAGACTCAGAGAATTCTAGTGGCCAAGCTGACAAGGACAGGCAGCCTACAAACATTCCCCCTCAGGATCCTTACCAGCCCCTGGGCAGAACTGAGATGTGGGGCATTCAAGACCTATCAAAAGGAGGAGGTTGCCAGGTCCGCTCCTGGCTTTTCATTTTATTTCTTTTTTCTTCAACGACAATTTTGGAATCACACGAGCTACAGGCAAGGGATTGCAAGGCCAGTTCCCTTCCCAAGGCCTCTCTCTTCAGGTCCCCAGTTCAGAAGAGTGACAGGTGAGGAGCTAATCCACTCCACACTGCTAAAGAAGGGACTGCTCAGACTCAGTCTGCAGTTTTTCAGATGGGGGTGTAATCCCACCATGAGGTGAGGGTGCTGGGACTTCAGACCACCACTGAAGTATCCATAGGCTCACAACATCCCAGACTTAAGGTGTCCTTCCACAGCCCTGACCAGTCTGAGGATCCAAACTTCCAAAGAACACACAAATAATCGTTAGAATAGTCTCATTCCTTCACAACTTCAGACAAGGAACCGATCCCCCATTTTTCAGATGAGGAAACTGAAATCTCCTGTGAAAGCAAGACAAGATCACAGTTCTCTGGACTTCCTGTCTCCCAAAACAATATTTTGGGAACTTTCTGGTTACCTTTTAATTACTCATCACCAGGGATTTCTTATCCTTCACAAATTTCACTCTATTCTTCTTCCCCACCCTCTCCCTCAACACCCGAATTTTCTACCCCATCCTTCCCTTTTTCCTCTTCAATTCGATTTCCCGGTCTCTTGCCCAAGGTGTCTGAACACCTCCTTGAATTCCCGAAGACCCCGTTTCCAGAGTGGCATTTATGTGGAGTATCTCCTCTTCTTTAAAAAAAAAAAACTCCTTTCCTGTGGCTCAGAGCCCCTTCCTCTCAGGCCGCTCACTCCCCCACCCCAGCCCCTTACCTCATCCTTCGCTCATCCACCCTCCTCAGGCCCTTTATGACCCGCTTCCTCAACTTTCTTGCCCTCCCTCCTATCACGGAGGGGCCCATCCTGCACACAGTCTGACCCTGAAGTTTCAGACTCTGTTCCTCCAGCTCTCCCGGGTGCTGCGCCCGCCCTCCCGAAAGCTCAGGCCTGAGCCTATTCTTCCCAAGAATCCCCGCATCCCACCACCCTGGCCCTCGGCTCCGGCTCGCGCGCGCTTACCCGACCAGAGAACGAGCTTGCCGTGCGCTTCCTCCTGGGAGTCCGAGTCCCCGGCCAGCAGCGTGGAGGTGGCCCCGTAG